ATGGGTTTTTCTATGAATTCATTCCGAGTTCCTTTTTAGCAAACATAACTTTATAAATGTAACAAACATTTCTACTATCAATTAAACATATAAATCCAATATTTTGTAAACATTCTTTTCTATATTTACAACCTTTACTGAACAGATGCCCTATACCTTCATCGGTTTAAAAATGTAACTATACTAAATTAAATCGTTCGAACAGTTGGCGATAACTGGCCATTAGAGTGTTTACAATTTGTGTGCTGTATTGCTATTCTTTGTGGGGATATATGTAACATAGAGCGGCTATAACGATAGAAATGTGTGGATATATTGTGGGTAATGTATTACATTTTTGTATAGACATTATATTTTATTAGCATTTTAGGTTAGTTTCGGTTACTACATTTAGATTATGCGGTAACCGTTCCTTAGAAATATGTAGACGTCATTTAAGACTTTTTCTGTTACGAAAATGTAGGATATATTTCGGATGAAGGATGAAATGATGGTAGTAAAATTACAGGTTATCAGGTAAGTCGTCAACTTGTATGCTATTATAACTAAATATTTAAAAAGTTAACGTTAATAAAGTTAGAAAGACGGTATTGACTAAAAACAACTAAATACTAAAAGATAGTTGGACCTTCTCTTATATGAAGTCGATTGAATATACATATATATGACAGATAATAATACGTATTTTTTATTAAATTCCCAACTTTTATAATTTTTACGTAACATTTTGAAATCAACAGTTTAAATGGTTGTATAAGTTATAAAATTTTAATCATTACATAGTATAAAACAAAGTCGCTGTCGCTGTATGTCCCTATATATGCTTAAGTCTTTAAAACTACGCAACGGATTATGAAGCGGTTTTTTTTATAGATAGAGTGATTAAAGAGAAAGGTTTGTATATATAATACAACTATAGCTAGTTTATATATAATTCGAACTTATATAATATTCTGTTTATTTTATCCATAAGTTGTGTGGATAAATAAGGATTCCATTTCAAAGTTGTCTTGTGCTAAAGCCATTTAAATTGACTGAATAATAACCAATAACGTTTATCGATTGTATTGTAGAATTTGTAGTGAAATTGGCAAGGTAATTTATATACCCTATAATAGTGATAATATCTCTCGATAATTCACACAGCCCCATCTACAAAATCTCAAGATAATCACAACTTGCGTTATGCGTACTAGACAACTAATAAATACATAAATATTTTCTATAAATACATACATATTATACATAGAAAACACCCTGATCGATACAAACAATAATAATATTCCTAAATACAAATGTTTATACCGTGCAAGGAATCGAACCCGCGACCATCAGTAGTAAGGCGGTATGCTAATCTGCTAAACTACCGAGGCCGTAACAGATGTTACTAAATATACAAGGGACAAATATATTCAGCGAAATCTAATAAATGGTAAAAGTCTCAGATATAACGTAATTTTTTTTTAAGAAATAAAAAGGTATACAGTTTCTTTTTATCATTCACTAACGACCAATTCCGTCATATTGCCATAGAGATCTCTCTCCAATGATAATACCCATTGTCATACTGGTCAGAGGACTTGGTAGATCTTTTTATTTCGTGTTGATGTTATCTCATGCTGATAACTACACTTTGCTTTCGTAATCGTCTCTTAAGATATCTTGGTATGAAAAGTACTCAAGTTATGGTACAATTTTACTTTTGTATAATAACGCATATATTTCCAGAACGTTTTGATCTCCATTAGTGTTTTGTTATATTCCTGTTCCTGCAATAATAATAATAATATTCTTGGACAATTAATCTAGTTCCGAGCTAAGCACAGCTTGTGATATGGGTACTAGATATAAATACATAGATACTTCTTTTTTATATAAATATATATACGTAATGTACATATAGAAAACACCCAGAACAATATGTCTTAGATTTACTTACTTACTTATTACAAATGTTTATGACGTGCGAGGAATCGAACCCAAAGAGTAAAGCAGTGTTCTAAACCGCTAGATCATTTAAATTATTACTACTAACTATATTACCTATACTTATAATTATAGTAAAGTAAAATAATAATAGTTATAATATACATCAGAATACCATGTCAAGTTGATCTCCATGCAGTACACCCTGGAAACCATCGTGATAAATTCTTGGTGAACTGTCACGATGGGCTAACTGACCTGACCTCATCTTATCATCTTCCAATGGTGCCCCACTCGTGTAAACCGTTAGCGCAGGCGGATGCACCATTCTATTATTACCCATAAAAAAAAACACAAAACAAAGCCTACAGTAATATCAAGCAACATGACCTATTTCGAACTGCCAATGCTGGTGATTTCTGTCACAAAGCGCCTTATTGATGCAGTCCGCAATATAAAGACTGGCTTACATTTGGGTCAAAGATCAATTCAATTAAATCTAGGAAATACAGATAATATCATGACAGAACTTTTTATAGCTGCATAATTCCAAATTATATTAAATATAAATTTGAATTCTTTAAAAAATAAAGTGTTGCAATGCCTTATTATATAATATTAGATATACACCATTGGCTTAAAATAATAACAAATAACTCTGATCAATTAACACAGCGCCTTCTAGCCCAACGGTAAAGCCAGCCAGCTTGATCTTGTGTGTAATGGGTACTAGACAACTGATATATGTAAATACACCCAGACCGATACAAACAATCATACTCATGAATACAAATGTTTGCACCATGTGAGGAGTCGATCCCACGACCATCAGAATTAAAGCGGTATCCTAAACTGCTAGACCACCAAGGCTATTTTTTATTATTTAGATACTGTTTTAAATATTTTTTGTTCCAAAACTGTTCCAGTTCCAATAGAAAAAGATATTCATATTATTCTCTCAAATGAAGGAAAAATACACAATTTGCAAGGTACTATCTCGATGATTTGATTTAGGTCAAAGCCCATTAAGATTTCAGATTTCACAAAGGATTATTATTAATTGTAATTCCTTTTGATCGACATAAAATCCAACAGTCAATTCAAGTCAGCTTTTTGGCTTAGGAGTAATTAGAAATGGCCATCTTATTGGATACTCGTGTTTCAATGGAATTGTTTATCTAAAATACAGTTTAGTAGATTAAAGAATAATATCGGAAAGACAATATGAATATAGTCGTGAAGTGGTACTGATTTCTAACATTTCAAAATTATTTGCATTGAGTGAATTTGTTTCCTTACTTTTTCCTCTAGCACAGATATTTCCATTTCTATTTCTATTTCTACTACCTATAAATAAAATGAAGTTAGAAATAATAATCATAATTGAAGGTAAATAAATAAAATGCTACTGTCATATAAAATGATTTATTTTAAAATTTTGAAATCAATTTTTTTATTTGTATAGAACAAAATAGACAGAAAAAAGTAGAATACAATAAAAGAAAACTATAAGAAAATATACAAAAAACTTTTTTTTATACTACGATGGTGGCAAACTAGCATACGACCCATCTGATGGTAAATCTTACTGTAGCCGAACGCCTGAGATACGTGCACGTTGCCAACCCTTAAGAAACTTTAATATACCCATCATGAAAAACCCCATGCTGTAGTGTCGTGAGAAAAATCTCGGTAGCAGCAATACTATTTCATTTATATGAACGCTACTACTATGTAGAATCATATTTTCTCTACCTTTTGGCAATTGGCCAAGTTCTGATTCCAACCGGCTTCCAAATCTAATATGTACCTGCTGTTTCACTATGTATTAAATTGCCAGGTGTAATTCTATAAACAACCAGAGTATATGCCTTCACTCCCAAATTAGATTAAACAAGTTTTATATATGAATACATGAAATGCGAAAATAATGTTATCTTTGAATTCCAATACTGAATTTCCAACTAATGAACTTTCTGTGTACAAAAATAAGATAAATCACATATTGAAAGGATTAGTATTTGTAAAATACGATAACATAAGCTTCAATTTAGATGCCAATTTATCTCTAGACGTAGATATTTTTTATGATTGTCGCAGGACGTCCCTATTCTACCCTTCAATTCACCACAGCTTCACGTTGTAAACTTGTTTATTTAAGATTTGTATATTTATATACAAATCTTAAATAAACATATTTGATAAAAAGATCTAAATACATCGTGTATCATATTCAAAATAATATCTTATTAATGTAATAAACACGGAAGTTTATGAGTATGGATGGATGTTTGTTACTCTATAAATTTCAAGCGGTTGAAATCGCAGGCACAGCTAGTATATAATAAAAACAAGCCTTTCTAGAACATTTAACATAGAATAAAATCATAATTTACATACAGTATTTATGAAATGAAAGTAAAAAAATGTGTTCAGAAATTTCGTCTGAACTTCAGTTTTTGTCGCTAATCTCCGAAATTACCGTTTTAAATACGGTTTTCACGGATATATAATAGCATGCGTAACCACAATTTTTTATTTGCTTTTAATTGATTCGAAAAAAGTAAGGAATACCACGAGTACAAAGTCATAGAATTAACTGGTTGTAAATAAAATATTTCTATCTTCATATACTCTTACTAAAAGAAAATATTTACATTCAAACAGATTTAAACTGTAAAAAATTCCCTGCAGAAGACCGCAGTCTCACCTATTTCAGCCGTTAAATGGCTTGCTTTGTAATCTGTGTTTCGTATGTAGGACAAAGATAAGGCAGTGAAATTACAGAATGAGGGACATCGCCTCTTAGTGCTCTAAAATAACAATGAAGTATTGGTATCACAGGTGTCCATGATAACGTGATGTCTATAATATTGATCACGTAATTGTGATGGTTACAGATAATCATCAGCTTGTTTGTCATTTTAATTGCCATTTAAATCTTAGATCATTATTTACACAAATTTTATTTATAATTTGTGTGTAAATAATGATCTAAGATTGAAGTCTACTTAATTTCTCCTTATGCAACGTATTTCCTTAAATCAATAACAACTTTATCAATCCAGCCAGAGATGTTTATTCCCCTAATCAACATTTCTATAGAAATTTCCTCACCTTTGTATTCTAATCGAGAATCTGTTTTTGCAGTGCCTTTATACCTACTGCTGATAAGCATGGCAACACCGCTGGCTAAATATCGGAAGCCTCTTATAAAATATCCCAAAGATACACAATTCTGGGCTACGGATTTCTTTGTTAGAGGATGCAGAAACTTTTTAGAGAATTGTCCATCGAGTTATAAGTACGTATTTTATTTTTTGTTCAACTTTACCCAATCAAAGTTATTTCATCGGTGCAACGAAAGTTTGAAGCCACGATAATTGGGAAAAAAGAACACTAAGATGGTCAGATTTGCAGAATGCGGTATTTCTGATGAACGTTTATTCGATTTGCATTTCGCTGAAATATTCCTAACCATACAAGGAAAAATATTTTTTAATTGCATACTGGGAACCTTCGTGTCTTTTTTAATTATTGTCAATCTGTTGTTAGTAGTTTTTCTTTTTAACTGAGCAACTAATATCAGCTCATACCATTGTAATTTCAATCCGAGTTTGAATGGGACCTTTTAGGAATTATTAGGAACCTTTTTCGGTATTTTTTGTGGTATGATTTCTTGGTAACCCTTTATATATAGTATCTAATATTACCATTATACCTGTGATTTAATAAAGAAATAATATTTCAGAACCCAATTTATTTGTGCGCGCAATTACAACGGTGACTTCGAGGATTTCTCTAATTATTGTGAAATGCAATATGAAAATTGTAACACATGGAAAAGTAAGTGAAAAATACTGACAAATTTAAAATTCATAACCTGAGTATAATACATATAAATTACTATACCAGACCATAAATAAATTCTAGATCGCATTATCTTATTTTCTACATCTAGAATGACAAAAAAAAAAACGTGTTAATCTGCCATGCTCAGAGCTAATGTAACTCCTTAGTGAAGATTTAAAAAATGTTCTATTCTAATGATAATTAACTTTATTGATTGACAGGCCATTGATTACTTAAGTGCTTAAAGATAGATTTTAACGTATATTTTCAGATTTCTTAGAATTATACATTGCTATTTACTTTGTTATGAGTTGAAATTTAAAAGAAGTCCGATAAGTAAGAAAAACATATCGTCCCTTTGATCGTCATATTAAAGAAACCTACAAGAGGCTGTCATTCATTTGCTTTGACAACAAAATTTCATTCGTGAAATCAATGACCAAATTTTTATAGACATTGCTGTAATAAAAAAATATAATTAAAATTACATTTTATTATAATTACTAGCTACTCGCCCCGGCTTCGCACAGGTGTACATATATTATATATATAAACGTTCCTATAGAATCACTCTATCTGTTAAAAAAACCGCTTCAAAATTCATTGCGTAGTTTTAAAGATTTAAGCATACATTGGGACAGCGACAGCGACTTTGTTTTATACTATGTAATGATGATAATAATAGTTATTTTATAATGGTAATAGCATCGCTTTAATGAATTGCAGTCGAAAGCATTCATCATATGAGAGATTAAATTTTGACTTTGGGGTTGGCTCTTTAACACGTTTAATGATAATTAAATAAATATTCATTAACATTCATTAACACGTTATTGATTGCAATATAAACATACGTATATATACAAGGATAAACAAAGATTTGAAAAAATTAAAATATTAAACAATGTGTACATATGGCGGACTTAATACCATGCGGCGATATCAACCATAAGTGGTGCAGAAAAAGATTGTTGGCGGTGCACTAATATAAATGAGAAATGTCAAAAAAAATGTATAATAATATACATACACAAATATATATATAAATATAAACATAAATGTATAAATATTATATATAAATAAATACATAATCATCTAATAATCAAAACAAAAAAGTACAGCCTCAAATTGAAAGTAAGAAAAAAAATATAGAGAGAACTACAGGGAAAAAACAGAAAGATGTGAAAAAAGGAGAAGGACAGTAAAAAAAAGTTACAAATTTAAATAATATTCCCGCAATTTCTTTAATGGGCATTTAGAATATCTTGTTAACGGGCAATTAAAATTGTGAATCCACTACTTCAATCACGAATTCATAAATATCTACACTTATATTTTTTTTAAACTACAGTTATGTTTTATATTTCAGATTGGCAAGTATTCAAACGGGAGCGCTGCTGAAGTGAAATGTTTTATACAAAATATATTATAAAGTATACTCAAGTTTACAATTTGTCCTTTATATTGCTTGAATTTTAAATTTGTCAAGTCTCTAAATGTGATATACGGTTGCTTTCGAAGACCTAGTAATAAAATTATATTTATTTACAACAGTAAAAATATTGAATTGTATATGTACAACAAAAAGTAAATAGTTATTTAAACAAGTACTTAAGTCTAACCCATTTCAGCCGCTAACTAATTTGCTTTGGATGTTGTGTTGCGGTCGTAGGATGCTATTAGGTATTGAAATTACTGGATAAGAGGGGTCATCATCATAGTTTTCTGGAATGGCAACACATAATTGGTGCCACAGGTATCACGTGATAGCTTGATGTAGCTAGTCATTTATGTAGACGTCGGTAATCACTTATCATCATTTAGTCCGTTAACGTATTTGCTATTATATAATTATTATATAATAGCAAATACGTTAATATACTATATACGATATAATGACATAAAAAAAGATGATCATCTTAGGTTACACCACTGAGATCATGCCAAATAGAAAAGACTTTATGGTCTTTGTACAAATCAAATATGTATCGTCACATTTGCATGTGTTACAAAATCATAAAATTAGGTAATGCCTATTTCCGACCGTTTATGTAACAATTGCACTAAGAATATAATATTTTGTTGTTAATATAGTACTTAACAGGTAATAAAAGTCAATGGTTCTTTTTATTGAGCCCCAGCTGTTCAGTTCAGTTTTATAGTTGAATTTATGATCGCATCTCTTTTATACTTACTTTTAAATCATATGAAATGAATGGGCGAAATTATACGAACAATGTTCAGAATAATCGTAGGAAAAATAATAATACAAAAACTTGACTTGGAGACTAAAATATTCTGCATGAATAAATTATTTTTGAATTTAGAATATATGATCTCATATTATGTTAGTTTTCTTTATTTAGCAAGCTTTATCTTTGTATTTTTTATTCTATTATCATAAATACATTGGCTTTATCTCATATATTAAATTCTCAAATCACAATGTTTGTTACCATACTCCTCCAAAACGGCTTGACCAATTTTTTGGAAAATTTTATATGCATATTCAATAGGTCTGAGAATCAGCTACTATTTATTTTTCATATGCCTAAGTGATAAGGGTTGTCCACCCCTAATATTTTTATTTTTTATAATGTGGCATAAAAATACATATAACCTGAGATTTCCAGCTTCTACCATCAACCCGTTCAAAAATAGCGATTTTAATTTATATATCAAAAAAACGTTTGCAGAGTCAGCTAGTATAAATAAAATTTTGTATTTACTTAAATTACCAATAGTTTTGACACTTTAAAATTAATTGGGACACGTATTACGCGCGTATTAAATACGTACGCATGTTGCATGTGATATCTGTATCGCATTTATAATCTTGGCACGTGTACATGCAAACAGAGTTATATAAGGTTTTTGTGAATATGAAATCACGTAGTCGAGTAACTTGGAACAGTTATGCTCGCAGTAAACAAACACTTATACAAAATTGATGCTACAGACAGTCCCCTTTGTCGGGGCTGTTTTAAAGCTGAAGAAACGGCGGCTCACGTAATCGTAATGGAGTGCACGGCAGTGGCCCAACAACGAAAACAAATCCTCGGAACGGTGAGGTCGCTCCGTGAAGCCTGTGAAGACACCAGGAGTCTTCTGCGCTTTTGGGAGGAGCTTGGCTGGCTACTTTAGTAGTCTGGCTCTGTACGCACAACGGCCCGAATGAGAGGCTAATTGCGGAGACTGGAATCCAACATACATTTTACATTTTTGCTCACTGTAAAGTTCAAACTTGTGGTGGCGTGGTGGACCAGACTAGAGAACACATTGATTCCCTCTAATATTATTGAGTGCAATGATGGTTGACATCAATAATGTATCTAAATATATGTCAGTTGTCTAAAACCAATAACAGAAGCTAACTTGGTGATGAAGCTGTGTTAATTGGTTAAATATATTATTATTATAGGACGAAACGTTACCTTACATATACAACATCAGCAAAGTTAGAATACAAATGAAATAATATATTTCACTATTCGTTATTTTTGATTTACACTCCAGGATTACGTGAGCAGCCGGCTTCGGCTTCAAAGGAGCTTCGACAAAGAGGACCATCTGAAGCACCTAATGTGTACAAGTATTTTTTTAATTAGAACTACTGTCCCTATTTTTATTTTAACGTTTTTCCTATTTAGTCTAATAGACGTTTTGTAAGTCGTTGACTTTCTACTATAATTACCACCTTTGATTATTTTCAATCAGTATTTTGGGTTCATCTCGTTAATACCTCAGGATTATAATGGTATAGTAGTTTATCATATTTCCCTAGCTTTGATAGTGATATGTTCGATGCTCGCATATTACACATATTGAATTTATAAGTACATTAGTCTGTTATTTTTTTTCTGCAAGTTTTACGGTTATTTTTAAAGACACGTCATTTTTTATCATGTCTATCAGCTGTCTAATTTCGATTGAATCCAAAAATAAATTGTTTTGATCACAAATCACGTTCAACGTTCCTTGAATAGGCTAGGTATATAATTTTAGTAAAATGTATAAAAATTCTTTTCAAAAAAATTTATATACGTTACTTATCTTCTTAGTAAGGAAGTATCAAAGGTGTTTTTCCTAGGGGATTATTGGAAGCTAAAAAGAATTTGTGTATCAACCCACAGGTAGAGGAAAATGAATTCTGTATTATGTTAGCATTGAGTTTATTTTTCGACATTATCAAAATACTTTAGTACTGGCGTCTATAATTTACCTACGTGTATGGAAATTATTGCTTCCTTTGTACTGGAATTCTATCAATTTTCATGTAAACAATATAGTTTATGTTCCTTTTGATCTTTATTAAAACAATTAAATTGTCTACGTACTTAGATACGGTATACAAAAGTTCGATACATCTACATGTATTCTGTTTTTTATTATCAAAGAAAGTTTAAAATTAATGTTCTTTCATGTTTGTAAAATACTATAAATAAAATTTTTCACGGCACTGGTTTTTCCTTCTATTATAAATGGAAATCTTTGTGGCTTGGAGGTCGACTAACCTGACTTACACCTAAGAAGTAGAGAGTTCAAATCTGGTCGATTCCAAAAAAACTTAATTTATATTTCTGACCGATTCTCTGGTGAAGAAAATACCGATATCAAATTAAAAATATCCGAAAGACTGCAGTAGGTCCATTGCCACGGTACATTCAAAAATACACAGCAACTGGACATGCCCAGTGTTGTTTCATTACAATATCGACTTGATAATACTTTCTAACTCTACTCTAACAACTGACTACTTTTGTGACAGTACGTATAAAGCTAATGGATTATATAAATATCATCATTTCAGCTCGGAAGTTGTCTCTGTTGAACAAACGCCTCGGTCCTGCGCTGCTCATATTCAACGCTCTTAATCTTGACCAGATTATCAGTCCATCTTGTCGGAGGCCTTCCCACGTTGTCTTCCGGTCCACGGTCGCCACTCGAGGACTTTACTGATCCAACGACCAGTCCTACGATATATAAACATAATAAAGAGTTTTATATATTGAAACCTTGTTTTATATTTACCGACCTCGGTGGTCTAGCGGTCTAGCACACCGCTTTACGTCCGATGGTCGCGGGTTCGATTCCTCGCACAGCACAAACATTTGTATTCATGGGTATGATTTTTTGTATCGGTCTGGGTGTTTTATTTATGCATGTATTTACAAAAAAAAAATCTAATTATTTATATCTGTTGTCTAGTACCCATAAAACAAGTCCTGCTTAACCTTACAAGGAAAAATACTTTTTAATTACATACTGGGCAACTTCGTGTCTTTTTTAATTCACTGTGGGACTAGATGACGCTATGTTAACTGTCCAGGGTTATTAATTATTGTACTCAGTCAAATATAGACATGTGGACAAAACAACGGTTACATTAACTACGATGGCGACAGCTAACTATACCCGCTAGCTGTTCCCGCGACTTCGTCCGCGTGGAATAAACTTATTTTTTTTTTAAATAAAAGTAGCCAAGTTACTCGATATTACATCAACTACCCGCCAAAAAAATTCCCGTCAAAATCGGTCCAGCGATTTTAGAGATTAGTCGGAACAAACGGACGGACAAAAATTGTAAAAATGATATTTTGGTGTATGTACCGTATTTATATTCATATGCATGTAGTAAAAAAAACGGTTATTTCAATATTACAAGCAGACACTCCAATTTTATTTATATGTATAGATGAACTATTTAATTGTAATTTTTCTTTGTTAAGAAAGTGAAAATTTGATGACTTTAATTTTATGATTAGTGGAGTAACTATCTGCACTCAATGGTCTCGATGACTCGTTGACCTTTCACTGTAGTATGCTGACTGACCTATCTGTCTGAAGTATGCAAATATAAAAAATGAAACACATTGAAAGAGGTCATTGAAAAAGAACGTTAATATCTAAAGAATAGTGTCTTGTTTTATCTTTTGGTTCATTTCTGTTTCTGAATTGATTTAAAAAAAAAGAACGATCCCAATTCGACATTATTATAGGGTTGATATTGATTGAGGAAATAAAGTTGTTTTATACTATATCTGCATATGACTTAAAATTAACAATAAAATAATAAATACATCCTACTCATATAGTACTTTACTCATATACCTATACAGTACCTTACTACTATACCGTACTGTACCGTATCTTACTCATACAGGTTGATATTAATTTAAGATTAAAGTTGTTTTATAATGATACTGCGTATAGATTAATATTTATAACAAAATTATTTAAAAATATGTCTATCTCATAAATATGTACATCGTCATTAATTATTATATAAGTAAAAAAATTGTGTCCTACAGTCATACTAAATATATCCAAATTCTAGTCCATTTATCTTATATTTTATTTATCTGTTTATTTTTCTTCGACAAACATATAAGAATTCTTGA